GTCTGCCGGCTGTGCCTCACCGGATCTGGTTCCACTGGAGGTTCCCCGGGGGCGTCGCCCTCGAACTACTCCCCTACCGTTGCGAGGTATGTTGGATCTTGGGGCGTTCATCCCATTAGCGGCGCATGGATGGTATCTCCATCCGTTTGGCATTAGTTTCTTCGTGGAAGGCCTGCTTGGGTGTGATGTTTCTGCAGAGGATTCTGGACGGCCGCCCATGGCCCTGATTAGTGGCCGGTGCTGGGTACGGACGCGTGGCCAACTCTCGGCCGGGTATCTGGCTAAACGTCGTTTGAAATGACCTGAGGTCGGCGGGTATACTCTATTTAAACCTCGAGCAAAGGCTAGGGTTGTCTGTTCATCCAAAGCCGGACGCGATCTCATTCGTCCTATCAGGGAGCAGGATGCGACTTCTTGTGGTGTTTCTTCCTTTCTTTGTTCGGCCTCCGACTTGTTGGTTTCTGCCGCTGCTGCTTTGATGACATCGGCGTATGTTTCTGTGGCGGGGTCATCTTGAAAGTCGCTGTTTTTCTTCGTGCATGCGTGAGCGGTGGTGCGCTCGTCGGGGGAAGCTGTCTCCGGTGTTGCTACGCTGGGGGTCCTCGGATGGCTTTGCAACTGAGCAATGGCCAGCTGTTATGCCTGCAACATTTCAAAAATATCGTGAAGACTAACTTCTTATTCTTCCCGGGCCGGGGTTTTTTGAACTTCCTGTCGGTCGTTGTGTCGCATGCTTCTGTCGGCGTGAGAAGTTTCGTTGACTTGTTGTGCGTCTTATGAGTCCACGTCCGCTAGTATTGGTCCGGGTGCGTTATCGGGATCCTGTAGTGGTGCTCCGGCAGCCGGGATAGCTACACCATTTTCCCCGTGATCTTCGAGGCGGTCGTTCTCAGCTCTGTTCACCGAGCCGAACATTTTTACCTGAAATCAAAGGATCTTGGACAAGAAAAAGTGTGAAAAATGATATGCGTTTGTGTGATGAAACTAGCAAGAAAATAATCACAATTATTTTTAGCCCCACGGTGGGCGCCAAACTGTTTACCGTCAAAATAGTAACGACAATTAAATTTATGAAATGGGACTCTAAAAATACGTGATCTATTCCCAAGCTAGTTTGTTAGAGCAGATGGTGCTAGTATTATGAATTTTAACGATGGGGGGGAGATAAACGAGGTAACGACTAAACCAAAGGGCCTGCTACCCGAGCGTAAGCTTGGTCGATTGGGACTTCGAGGTCGACCTCGAGGTCGAGCTCGGGTTGTGGGGGACACTCGGGAGCAGTATAACAGCTAGAGATATAATCAAACGAAGCTATTTATAACTGAAATTGAGTTGTACGATGAAGAACACATATAGAGGCAAAGGATATCGAAGTATCCTTAGTATCAAGGAGAGCCAATAAGTATTAGTAAGAAGAGAGATAGAGAGAGAGAGATATTATTGCACTTTGTAAAATTGTGGGAGCAACATTAGTCCCTTACAAGGTAGGGCGATTATATAGGAGAGGCAACTTAGTAACGAATACATGTATATCTAATTTACAAAATATGAAGATGTTATGGCTTGACTCGACACCCCAGTATAGGCTAGGGATAGGCCGGCCCTGTCAGACTCAACTGCGTGCTTTGGGGGCTTCCCCCCTTTGTCTTTATCTCGGCCTCGAATCGGACCTTGACAAGACTCGAAGGAGAGGACTAAGTTGTGACTTCATATCCTCGGGGTCTCGAGATATCTTTCCGAGGTGGCGTCATGTCCTCTGGGTCTCGAGGTACCTCCCCCGAGATGGCTTAATGGCGGGGAATCAGGTCCTCTGATTTCACCGCGTACAAATTCCATTTTGTTGAGGTGTGTAAACACATGAACTTTGATGAAATATGCCAAGATTAGACAGCAATTGTTTGAACTCATTACTGAAGAACTCACTACCATTATCAGTCCTTAAGACTTTTATGGAAGCTGAAAACATATTCTTTATTTGAGTTAGAAAATCTCTTAGTACAACTATGACTTCTGACTTGAAGTCGAGCAAAAAAATCCAAGTAAACCTGGTGTAGTCATCAACTACTGTAACAAAATACCTCTTACCATTATGTGAGGGAACTCTATATGGCCCCCAGATATCACAATGCACTAAGTCAAATGCAGCCTTAGACACTGAGGTACTTAAAGGAAAAGGCAGTTTGGACTGTTTAGCAACTGGACACACAGGACAGTGTTGAGATCCTTTCCTTAGAGTACTAAGAGCATCTAACTTTCTTAGTACATCAATAGGAGCATGTCCTAGTCTCATATGCCATACTTCTATAGAATCAGTTAAGCTGACTGAGTGAGCATACTTATTGATTGATGTTGCTGTAGAATCCCGTGAAAGTCTTCCTTGAAGTATGTACAAGCCATGCTCCTCCTTACCAATCCCCTTCACCTGACCACTGTAGAGATCCTGGAAAATACAGAAGTCAGGGAAGAATGCAACCATGCATTGAAGTTCTTTGGTGAGTTGAGACACTAAGAGCAGGATGTATTTAAATTATGGAATGTAGAGCACATTTGAAATGTTGTTATTTCTAAGTACTGAGGAAGTTCCTTTATGTGATACAGAAACTACATTTCCAGTAGGTAATTGAACTTTGCACTTCTCTGAACTGGGGATGGACTGACAAGAAGTAAGGGCATCAAGTTGAGAAGTCATATGATTTGAGGCTCCTGTGTCTATAATCCAATTTTGCTTGAGAAAATTGGACATTAGAGTGATTAGAGTACCTGCAGTTGCTAACTTGCTGGATGATTCTGGACCCTCTTCATTCCCTTTGGCTAGCATTTGAAGTATCTGTTGATACTGCTCCTTGGTGAAGAAAGGAGTAGCAGGACTATTATTAGGTGTAGGCTGGGCAAACTGAGGCATGTAAGCATTCTGGCCCTGCTGCATTCTTGACTGAGTTCCATAAGCACCTTGTTGGTTCCCAATTTCAGTGGCACTTGGAAACACCACACCACTCACATTATTTGCATACACTCCAGTGTTCTGCCCTTTCTTCTTTCCCTTGAAGTCTGAGGGATAGCCATGAAGTTTGTAGCAATTCTCCTTTGTGTGCCCCTTATAATGACAGTAGTCACACTGCACTTGGTTCTTTCTGAACTTGAAATTTCCACCTGCACTTGTTGAGTTTTTATTACTATAGAACACTGCTCCTTCTATGCCTTCAGTAGGTTGCTTAATCTGAGTGAAATTAGCCAGACTCCTTTGGCTTTCTTGATCAATCAATGGTGAGTAAGCTTTGTTAATACTAGGAATTGGATACATCATCATAATCTGACTCCTTGACTGTGAGTAGGACTTATTCAATCCAATCAGAAAGTGTAATAGCTTGTGGTACTCAAAATGTTGAGCATATTTCTTTGATTCAGGACAGGGACAACCAGGACAGGGCATTATTGCATCAAACTCATCCCAAAGGTCTCTCAGCTTGGAAAAGTAATCAGCAACAGACATAGTGCCTTGAGTGAGATTATGAATTTCTCTACTGAGATACAGAACCCTAGATCCATTCACTTTGTCAAATCTCTCCTTTAGGTCTTCCCAAACCTTATGAGCATTAGAGGCATATACTACACTGCTAAGTAACCCTGGCTTTACTGCATTCATTATCCATGAGAGAACTACAGCATTCACTTTCTCCCATTGATCATGAAGTTCAGGCTCAAACTTAGACTTAGGAAATCGGCCGTCTACAAAGCCTAACTTACTCTTCCCTAACAAACCAATCCTCATAGATCTACTCCATATTGCGTAGTTATCTGAACCAGTAAGTTGAAGAGAGATCAGAATGCTATCTGGAGTGTCTGTTGGTTGAAGGTAGAGTGGATGATACTGATCAATTGACGGAAACACAGTTGTACCAGTTGCACCTGCTGCATTATTGACATTATCAGTAGTTGTTTCTTCTCCAATCGCCATTTTCAGCAGCTTCTTCAAGAGTAAACCCTAGGTTTTTAGCTACACGCTACAATTGAACAATTTCCCACAGAATTGTGAAATTGAGGTAGCGAGAGGAAGAACCAGCTTGAGAGACGTCTTCGATTCACTCAAGTAGCTCTGATACCATGTTAGCTGCCATGGATCTAGAGATCAAGCTCAACGAAGAAGACATGCAAATGTACCCACACTTGAGAGAAACAGAGTTCTGTTCTTAGAAGAAGAAAGCAAAATGATACAGGCGTGTATTTTCAGAGTCTGCAGTACATTCTTATATCTACAGTATAACTAACTTCAATTGTACTAACTAACTAACTGTAGTTACATAATTAACTTATCAACTTGATTAACTAACACTACAAAAAAAATAGCGTTCAGCGATGGCCGCATTCCGTCGCTAAATCAATGTTTTCCGTCGCTAAAGTTGTTTAGCGACGGAATAGCGACGGATTCAAGTTGGTCCCTAAAATCCTCGTTTCTAGGCTTATAGCGATGAAAAATACCAATCTGTCGCAGAATTAGCGACGGAATAGCGACGATATATTTTTGTAGCAAAGTTTAGCGAGGGAAATATCTGTCGCTATAGAGCTTGTTTCTGTCGCTATTTTGATGCCTTTCGTCGCTGCAATACATAATAAAATTCGTCGTTTGTTCTTATAGCGACGAAATTGTCCGTCGCTAGCCGTGTTATAGCTAATTGTCCCTGCTTTTTGCAACAAAAACCTTTTGTCGCCAATTCGTCGCAAGATTTAATTTTACGCGATAATTTTAGCTACGGAACGTATCCGTCGCTGATTTATTTTTACTATATTGCTGATTTTTTAAAATTCTTTTCATTTATTATTTTAAATGTACTCTGTTCAAACGTATTACATAAACTATTAAATACACTTAATAAAAAGTCACTGATATTAATATAAATTCAACAAGGTCCAAAATATATAGCATAATGCATATAACAGTATCATTAAGTACAAAAAATCCACAAGGACCAACAATAATGTCCAAACAAAGTAAGCTAACTACGCTAGGCTGGAGAGTTACGGTCATCATCAGAACCCAATGCATGAACCTCATCAATGTTAGCAGCAGTAGAAGATGTTGGAATTGTAGGTGCCATATCAGTATTTGGCTGATGCGAGGGTAAGGAAACTAATTCGCGTACCCGCTCAACGATTACAGGAACTATATGATCTGTCAGTGCAGGAATCAATCGCATCACTAACTCATCCAGATTCCCTGTCGATGTTGATTGAGAATTTGGAGGTGTTGTTGACGATGTAGCATCAGATCCAAGAGAGCCATGAAGATTTGGCCCGTAGTAGCATTTTGCTTGCGATCCAAGACCATATACTCTTCTTTTCTTTTCTCCTCCCGCGGCTTGATAATATGCTTTACACTGATCAATATCAGATTGAGTTTGCATTTGTTGTTGTAATATCTCCTGATATTTTTCCTGTAGAAGAATTAATAAGAACATTCAATTTATAAAATAAAAAAAATATATGAAAGTAAAGTCAATTAAAAAGTTATCTTACATTTACGATTCGGGATTTCTCAGCAACAAAAGATTTTCCATCATTACCATGTGTATGGACGTGCAAATGCAACTCATTTGGTGTTGGATCTCGACCCTTTTTAACAGCCTATACAAAAATTATTCAATTAAGAAGATAGAGAAACATAGAAACTAAAGTCAGTATCTATATATTCAATTATTCAAACTCTTAGTTCTATTTTCCAATTTAGACTAAAGTCAGTATCTACAATGAAATATAGTATCATAGGGGGTTCAAATCCCCTAGTGTGACTTTCTAGTATTTTTTCGAATCCTGTTGCATAAATTCCTGGCTATGCCACCAGCCACAAAAGCAGCCCGAATTCTTTCCTGGAAATTGGATACAGTAAAAAGAGGAGCATGACTCAATAAACAAATCGATTGCCTGNAAATTATGATTGCCTGAAAAGGAAGAATTAAGGGCACAAAGGAAAAGCAGAAACGAAGTCCATGATATTTGACACCAAAAATAGAAAACCAGCAATATAATTGCCAAAAAAGGAAATAGTTCAGGATAGGGAAATCCAACATTTGTTTGTTGAATGTCCATCGTCTTTTGAGTTGTGAAAGGCTATTACTGATATTGGGTTGGCCCTGATCGATCTCTAGCATCAAAAGCATGCAGACTTTGTAGGGGGATAGGGAAGCTTCAAGCACATTAATAGGGCAGTAAATTCCCTAGCCAAACTACTAAACAGTCCAGACATGAAATATACCATAGTGCAAATAAAAGGATACATAAAAGAAAGAAAAGTATTAAACCATATATAGTTCAATATAACTTGCCCACAACAAAGAAATGTTCTTGAAAATAAGAAATATTGACTTTTGTAACAAGACGTTAGATATTTTACCAAACTGATATCTTCCTCAACAAGAGAGGAATATCTCTACTGTCATAGCATAGTCCATAGGAAAGCATTCATGAGCTTTAGAACTTGAAATCCTCTTCAAGCTTCAAATCGCAAAGAACATAATGGAGAAAAAGGAAAAAATAGCAGAAATCCATTCACAAGCAAAGAGCTTGGTTGATGAACCAGTATAAAGCTTGTTAAAGCTTGTTAAAGCTGCAGGAGGTATAAAAGTAGGTGCAGCTGCTGCTGCTATGACTGCCGCAGCAACTGCTGCCAATTCAGGATCCAACTGCAGCAATTGCTATGACTGTGGCACTTAAATGTTAAAGAGTTAAAAATACTTGAAGTATATTTCTTTCCTTTTCAACACTTTTTCATAACATACATGATAATCCTTAAAAAACTGCATTGGTTCTATCATGGAAAAATATATATTCTCAATTTTTCAGCATTCCTGTTAAGCATTTCCTTACTCTTAAGGTTATGAAAAATTTGAAACTAACTCAAAATCAGCTGGACAGAGAACCACAGCTCCCAAATCTTAGCAAATCTTTGAGTAAGATACTCTTATATTACTAGCAAACAGTACAGCACTCTGGAAAGTATCATGGTATTACATTTTACAACATGTGACTCAAGAGATATCAACTCAAATTCAAGAAATAACAGATCAAACTGGACATACATCATTAGTTACAGGGCAGCAGAAGTTCGACATTTTTGGGCAGGTCAATGACTCGCCCATTTATTATCTCAATCCGTCCATTTGATACCCTTAATAAGGAACTTGTACTCTTTTTAATAAAAACATGATTCGATTTTATAGGTTTGGCTAAGATATTGAAAAAGTATGACAAGAAAACTGGTGGATTACTGCGCTTGCCCTATATACAAAAGGTGCTTCAACAGCCATTCTACATAACTGATCTCATCTCAAAGCTTGTCAAAGAGTGTGAAAGCACCATAAATTCAGTGTTTCCAACATGTGATGAAGGAAAATCAGTGAGTCAATTAGGGGGAGAAGGAGAAGGAATTATAACAGTAGTAGGAGAAGTATGCAACCAATTTGAATATGCAGATCGCAGTTTTCAATTCCACTCTTGGAAATAACAATCTATAGCTTTTTTCTCAAGGACAATTAATCCATATTTATTTGACCAACAAGTAGCACTAATTTTGTTAATGTCTTTGCCTTAATATTTTGCTTGAAAAGTAAGGTTAACAAAAATTGCTATCTTTTGATATCCCGGAATTGACCAACAGAAAAACTCAACATCAGAAATTATATATAACTGAGTCTGTTTTCCAAGACCATCTCTTTTTAATAAATTGACTTAAATTCTGCTAAATGTAGGTAATTTATCTCCCTACCAAACAAATTTTAATAGTTGCCTCTTCAGCCACAACCTTAACTACAGTCTACAGATAAGTAGCAGATTCAGAAATTTTGGGGTCGGGAAATGTCAACAGGAATAGAAAAAGTAATCAATACACAAAAAATTCAGATCAAAACTTACACTTGATGCCAAACCATTTAGCGAGGCAGTACAAAATCAACAATGGCTACCAATGTACAATTCAAAAGAGGTTATGGATGCAAACATCGGGCAGCTTGGTTTACAGAAGAACAGGAACAAGGTAGTAAGTACTGCACAAAGAAGCTTACCTTATCAAGGACATGCAATCCCTAAAATCAACGCACAACTTCGAGTTTCAGAATTCTACAAACACATGACTTCAAATTTCAGAGATCCGCAGCAAAAAATTGTAATTTCAAAGGTTTTCTTCTATTTTTCAGATAGGTATAAAAAAAATCACTTTTTAACACAAGAAAAGTAACGAAATTGTCAAAGATTTGACACTTAATTTGTCAAATATCAGAAGAAAGCAAGCCCATACCTCTGAGAACAAAACCCCTTTGCAAAAATAGGAAACCGTCGACTGAAAACCTACGCTGCTGAGGTCTCAGCCTTTGTTAGATTGATGTGGTCAAAGTATTCTTAGATTGATGGAACACCACAGCAAGTCTTAGGAAGTCAATCTGCCAAAATAAATAAAATAGTTTAACATACATAGAGAGCATAGTTTAACATATCACAGGACTGAAAACCTACGCTGCTGACCGTCGACTGAAAAAATGGAGGTACTGAAGTCTGCGTTTGTGCCTTCGTTCAAGAGGAAGAGAAGAAATAGGAAGAACAGTGGAGAAATTAGGGTGTTTGTGCCCTTGGGAAGGTCTTTTACCTAGCTAGGGTAATTTAATTTTGGGGACGAAAATTTAACGACGGAATAGCGACGGACCGAAATTCTGTCGCTAATAGTAATTAATGAAATTATATTTTAGGAAATTAGTGACGGAATATTTTGTCGCCGATAACTTTCGAATGCCTTGATAAGTAAAATAAATTCTGCGATTGATTATTGGACGTTAAATCCGTCGCTAAGTTTCAATATTTTTTGTCGCCCAGAATTTGTCGCTAATTTTGTAGCTAAAATAAAGGCGCTAATATTTAGCGCCAATTTTGGCGAGGAATTTAAGTTTTTGTCGCTAATCCGTCGCTATATTTGGTACAAATTATCTTCTAGCTTATTTGGCGACAAAATACAAATTTCGTCGCTAATCCTTCGTTATTTAGCTACGGAATATCGTTTGTCGCTAAATTCCGTCGTTAAACGCTGTTTTTTTAATAGTGTAACTCTAGTCAACATATATATATATATATATTTATATATATATATATATATATATATATATATATATATATATTTTAAATTGAAACTTAAAAAGAGTAACTAATTATTAACTAACCGAACTAACTTTGTCCTAAATTTTGACACTTATTGATTTTTTGTTGTGACACTTGACATCAGCACATTGAATTGCTTCTCCTATTCTATATGGATAGATTATAACTTATTTGTACTCCATTTCGGAGTAAGGTTTCGATTCCACCAACAACTCTAACTTCTTTTACGTTCCCTTCTCGCGCTATTGACATGGTCAGCTCACATCTAAAGCCGGAACTAAAATTCTTAGTTTATGAGTTTTAACTTCTTTATTATAAGGTTTAAGCCAAAGTTATTGAATTTTATCACCCGTAAGTAGAACCGTAGAATCCGCCATGCCGACACCATCCCAGCTTTTAGAGAGAGAACCAATGGCATCCTTCAATTTTATAAACTTTTCTTGCAAAAAGATTAAATTACTTTTCCACAAATTGATAGCTAGATATATTAAAACTAGAGGGTAAAAATAATGTGTACAATACAAGGACGTCTAACATGTAAGATTTTGAATGACTCAAAAATCTAATTTTCCCAGTTGGTAGGAGATTTGTACAAATGTAGGTGTTTAACAAAGAGCTGTCTGGAATGTTAACAGTCCTACGTTGGATCATGTCTACATCGATCTGTTTCTAATCTTAGACCATTCTTTATTCATCTGATTCTCAGTGGGCTCCATTCTTTTTCTGATATATACATTTTCTTAAATAGGATATAGTCCAATAAGTTTACATTTTTTTTTTGAATTTTGAATTTTTCTCTGAAAAACTTGTTCAGAAAGTTTTTGGAATATATATTTTAAAAATCGTGTTTACACAGGTTGAATTTCCTGCGTTTTCTTTAAGATCAATTGAAGAGAAGAATACTTGCAACTCAACCTCAACGAGAATTAAACACAGGGACAAAGCTCGGCAGAATTCATTAATTTTGGTCTAAACTCTATATAGAAATTCACTGAATTAATATGTACATATAATAAACTGCAGACTCATAACCTTCAAATTATGAATCCGTCTTTGATCAAACATTATATTACTTATAGACATGTCAGACAAAGGTGAGTTAAAAATTCGGAATCAATGAGTTCGAAATAAGTAGTATATTTTATTTATATGCATACATAAATAGTTGGAGCTGAAATTCTAGGTCAGCCTCTAATCTCGCAACCTTAAAGAGAGTAATTAACATTTTGTGGTACTCCTTCTTTGTGTCACATATATAATCACACACATGCAGATACACAGTACAGGCTGTCAAGATGAATTATTAATTTTTGTAATTAATTAGTGGAAGATTGCTTTGTTGTTTCTCCAAGGAAAAGGTGTCATCTCTCATGATATTAAGATGGTGAACTGGTGATTTGCTGTTTCCCAATTCTTTGTTTGCCTCCTCTTCTCTTCTATTCTCCTCTCCGTTCTGTCACAGAAACAATTAATTAAGAAGAAAAATGGTCTCTCAATGAACCTCTTCCTCGTATCCCATTACTTCAATTTTCAGGTAACTTCCTCTTCTTCTTTTTTCCGAGAATGCATGTACTATATCAGAAGATTATCTTGATCTTAAGATGATAACAACTGTCTTAGTTTCTATTTTTATTTTTGACGTTAAACTCTATATAGTCTTGCAATGAGAATCGTAATTTGTTCTATCTTCATCGGTATAATTAAGCTCAATTATTTCTATGTTTCATGATTTTGGTTTTCTTTTTCTCTTGGGGGAACTGTTATTTGTTTCTACTTTCTTTTTTTATTTTATTCTGTTGGGTAAATCCTGGTGAATAAAAAAAATCCTTGTGAATTTATTTTCAATATGTTGAGCATTTTAAACTCCAATTCCGTTTAATTACTGGCAACAAGCTAGTTGAAGCCATTGTTTTTTTTTTTTCAATATGTATATGGGTGACAGGTTAATGAAGACAAACTTTTTAGCGTTTGATTTGAAATAATTATAATTATCATGCAATTCAAATTTTACTATGAAGATTAAAGGCTTATAACTTTTTTTAACTTAAAGCTAAAAATAAAATAAACCTAGACTTTTTGCTTTTGGATGGGATGGCAGAGTGTATGTGTTCTTTTGTTCCATTTTCTTTTTCTATGAAAACGGTTTTTTTAACTTTTTAATATATTTTGGTATCTTTTGCGTCATACGTAAGTTTTATCCATTGCCGTTATTTTGACTTTTGGGGGTGGCTAAGAACTTTGAGTATATATCAATAGTCCCTTATTTTAAGTTTATAACGTGATTGATGCCAATTAAGGGAAAAGGGACAAAGATAAAACAAGTATTATACGATAGGCATCTTAGCACTAGAAAAAAGATGATTAATAATATTCAATTAATTTCATCAAATTGGTGTTCCTTTAGATGAGATTCCTTGCAGTATTTTTTGACTTTTCCATTATGAAAGACATATATAGTTTACATATACCATAATTAATCTTTGAATAATAGTGACTGAAACGCTTATTATGGTATAAATTTCATGATAAGGATCTTTGTTTGTAAGTGTCGAAGTGGAAGTAAACAATTTGCAATAATTAAAAATGAGAATTCACAATGGTGGAACAATGTATATTCGCCCCAATGGGATTGTTGCGATACAACTAGTAGATACGTGATAGTTTTTCTTATTAGATAGATATAAGGAATGATCAAGCAATATATTATAACTGGTCCTAAATAGAATGTCTCATCGCAATATTAACGGTAAAACACTCTTTATAATCAGAGGCCTCTTAGAAAGTCCTGTAGATTTAACTGAACCTATATATATATATATATATATATATATATATATATCACAAATTTAAAATACATACACATATTATAAGATTTCATTTATTAAACCCACTTTAAATCTTACTTTCGCCTCTGTTTGCCTAGCATCCGCCGATACTATCACATTTATCGTTTAACATGTGATTAGATTATAATTTGCATGCGTTAAAGCATACAGATACTTAAAAATTAAGTCATAATCAACCCCTTAAGCAATTACTAAAGACTAGCTTATCTCGAAAATTGGACACTCACTCTTTTTGTGTGGGTAGAGAGAATTAGGACTCTGAACCTTGGGGTCTTCGATGAGAAATTGTCACAGGAGTTTAGGGGAATGCAATATTATCTTTTTATCCTTTCTTTTTGTGTGTGTTTTGTTTCTCACCTATCAGAGCGACTCATTTACCTGGAGAATAGTTTCGATTTTAATGATATTTCAATTTTGCAATGAAAAGACGAATAGTTTCAGATATCTGCTAGTATTGTGGAAGAAGAGGGATCAAGTCATGCAGTCAGAAATCCAACCCTTGCTCCGGCAGTCAGTCCTTGGAGTTGATCTCCACGTTCTGATTCTGCCTCATCTGATAATAGAAGTACCTCCGTAAGGACTCCATCTCAACATCAATTCGCATTTGATGGCTATTTTACTTGAATATTTTTATTAACGCCTTCCGCTAGGTCTCGTATAGAAGAAGGGATTTTTTTGCTTTTCGGCAGGAGATTATACATAAGCGCTCTTGATCTCCTATCCATATCCGCTGCTCTTAGCCTTGTTAGAATATAATGTTAGAAGGAAAACTCAATAGGCATCCCAATATCCGTCTTCTCTATTTTGACAATTTAGAGGCTAGAGCTACTGCATGCAAAATGGTTGCCAAGTCTTTTGTTTAACTCTTTGGAAGGTGGATATCGCTATTGACATTCCTATCTTTGCATCGATATTGCAGGAATGGGAACAAAGCTCTTATATGCCAAAAATGCAATAGCTAATTCTCCAAACTACTATTTCGCAGTGAAACAATTGTTCTACTTGTGGGATACTTTATACAAAGTTGGATATTCAATGGAAAGGATTGCTGAATTGAAGAGTATAGAATCCATCAAGAGGACAATGCTCATGCATGAAAACATTTTCAAACAGCAGGTACTCTTCCATCTTAATTGATATTTGCAGGGTATAATCTCTGAACTTTTGTGTATTTTGAAAGCTTTTTTTCTTGCCGTAATTACTTTTCCTATTCTGAGAACTATTTTATCCAAAAATAATTTCTTTCAAATTTTCTCTTATAATATAAAATAAAAGGCGAGTAGTCAGAGGTTTTGGGGTTTAACTTCATTATGATACAGTAGGCTATTCGGAATTTCGGATCAGTTACACTAGAAATAAGGTAGATGGAAAAAATGCTTTTATTTAAACTGGCGTACTTTTTTTTTATAATCATTCACTAGTAAAAAACCACATGCTAATTAATTGGCCCATTTGCACCCCTAAAATTGAGGAGATAAATGGTGGCTTACAGTATTTTATTATCATCCAGTTTGTCACAGATCAGAATCACATGCTTCACAATCTGCTTCGTCAATGACACTATTAAATTTCACTTCTTTTTTTAATCAGAAAAAAAAAAAAAAAAAAAAAAAAGTCTTCTTTCTCAGTATTTGAACCTGATGTTGACCTGCGGAAAAAAAAGGATTGACAGTATAAAGAATCTGCACATTATCATTATATCAATGTAATTTTACTTCTTATAGCAGGTTATATATAATTTCATCACGTCACCATTTACAGCTTTTTATAGGAAGTTATCTGCTATCATGCCTTTTTAGTAACTTTGATTATGTATTTATACTGTCAGTAAATGTAACTAATAACAGGTAAAAGAGCTCCACCGACTATACAATCTTCAAAGGAAACTGATGCTAGAGTTGAAGAATGAGATGTCCAAGATAGAGGATCCAAGATTATTATTAGACAAGTCTATGATCAACACCACCTCTCAAAACTTGTCCACTTGGCAACAACAACCTACAAGAGAAATAGGGTTTAACAGTGTTCATCTTTATGGTTTAACAGATGATCAACAAGGGGAAAGAAGTGGTAGTTGCTCAGGGGAGAACTCAAGAATATTAATGCCAGTTAGAGGATTCAATCTTGAATTGCCTTCTGATCATCAAGAAGGAACTTCAACTAGTACTATTTGTGCTAGTTATGACCATGCCAAGATGAGAAATATTGATGAGGAAGCAGATGTGGAGCTAACACTAAGTATTGGACCCAGCAATAATAAAAAGAGGTTAAAAAGCCATACGCATAAAGAAAAGAAGATAAAATTTTCTACTTCAGCCAAGTTAGAAAGAGGAGAAGAGTGTGCTGATGGTAGCCCAGCTAGGAGCAGTTCAAGTGCTACATTCAAACAAGAAAGTGCCTCTCAAGCTTATTGGTTTTTCCAAGATCTTAGTTTAAACAGAAGATAGCCTATATTAACTTCCTTCTTTTTAATTCTTTGTAATTAATTTATGGAAGCCTAGTTGTTTCCTTTTAAATGCTTCAATGTGCGTACTTGACTAGCTTTCTTTAATACTTGTATATTTTATCAACCTACAACCCGTAGGAATAGAATAGAGGAAAGAAGCATTCTCTTTTTACAGACATGCATAGAATAGATAGTCTGCGAATCTCGTTAGACTGGTCTTTTGCCATATCTAGGATTTCATTTCTACCTGGTCTTTTACCTTGAGGGGTTTTTAAAAGACACTAAAAGATCCACGACATAGTCCCTATAAGTAATTGGTTGCGAATCTCGTTAGTCTGCTATTAAGTAATATTTTCATTAAAATTATCCATGTCAAAAGTATCCACACGATGATCCAAATTTAGTTAGATACTAACCTCCTCACATTTCATATATGTGCACCTTGACTGTCTATAATAGCAACTAAACAGTGGCTTGCATGTCTACAATTCACAATATACATGCTCTTGAGTCCCTACTTGTGCAAATAGTCCCCTCTCTTGTTCCAATTATCAATATTGACAGAAGAACATAACATAGTAGCAACAGGATTTGCAGGAAATATTTGGGATATTTGCATGGTTGATTGCATGGTAGGTTGGCATCATAATTACCATCTTCACTACTATGAACAACATAACAAATCATTTTGACCTTAAAAACATTTTAAAAATTCACCTGCCATGATTCCACCGTGCCACATCTTTCATTCAGCACTGTTCTAAGGTCATGTGTCTATTGTCATCTTGTCAAAGATATATCGAACAGCTTTGTTGTTCTCCTGGAGAAGCAATTCCATATGAGTTCAATTGTATAGCTTCACATCATTCACCTTCATCATGTCCTTGATGATAACATCTTGAAGACCTAAAAACATGAATAGAAGTGTCATCTCTTTAATAGCTTAGCCTTAGGATGAGGTAATCCACACAATTTTACATGATACTAGAGCAATTAGAGGTCCTAGGCTTGACTCTCACCATTATGCATCAACAAAATATTTCACATTATAGGTCCAGTAAAAGAAAATGTATCAGCTGAGACAACATGGGCATGTTGAAGACTTTAAAGAAAATATATTTCCTCTTTAATAGTTTAAACTTTTATATGAAGCAGTTCAAATAATTCGATAACAATACTTTGAAATCATATGACATTCAATTGGCTGCCAATAGTCAGATTTTTTCAAGATCCAAAGATGATTGAACACCTACCAAAACTTGTTCTAAGAAATCTGCTAGCAGATCAACTTCAGCCATAACTTTAGTGAGAATGTGTGATTAAACGGTTGTAGAACCATCCACGGACAATGCACGACAACAGGAGCAACTATTAACTTCAGAGTTCAGAGCATTCATATAAACCAATATGGTCATCATCTTGGTAACCAACCCAAATAGGGGGCCAGAAACTCTCTCTTTTGGGGTTAAAATCTACATCATACCTGACACTACTAGTTTATTTTTCACGAATAAACCAGACTGCAAAAGAAAAGAAGAATGAAATCATCTTCATAAGTAAATTGTCAAAAGTACAAGCACAGAATCAATTCTACCCATAAAATAAAACGAACTTTTGAATTAAACTAAACTAGGGCATATCAAATCTCTACTACTACGAAATCGTTCATAGAAGACTTACACAAACCCAACCCACTAGAGCGAATAAATGAATCAAAACAGACACCTCCATCATTCATAAAGCATATACAACTCACAATAAATTTTTCTTACAAATCAATGCAAATTCATTTCTAGTACAAGATTATCTGACCGCTTAGCATGGTCAATCGAGTAGTGGAGGCCCATATCTTTTAAAATGATAGTTCCTGGTTCTCAAACCCAAATTCCAAAAAGTGGTTGTCTGAGTTTGCGCTTTCCACTCACAATATCTGCCTTAAGAAACTAAAGCACTTAACAAGTTAAGCAATCAATGTAATGCAGATAAATACATGTCAATTAGAATCAAATTGTGACTACTGTATGCAATGAAAGAAGATTCCTGACCTCAAAATTCTTCATGCTAGTATGCACTTCTAACTTCTCATTCCCTGTATGCACTATAAACATCTTCAATCTCCATCTCGGATTCATCTTCCAGAAGATCTCCCTCCAAACTACCCATATTATGCTCGTTATTTTCCACTTGAACACGTTCATCTTCTGACTCATTCTCAAGCAAATCATCATCCACGAATTCCTGCAAATCTTCAATAGTATCCATTGTTTCCTTCTTCTTTCTGTATCCAACAAAGCTTAGAACCTGTTCTCTCCAAACAGTCAAAGGGTGCTTCTCAATCAACTCAGAACCTTCATAAGCACTATTAAGAAATACATGAAACCTCTTACCCCTTTCTGAAACATAAAAGATACCAAAATGTTTAAGCAACAGCCTCATCAGCTTCTGAGGCATTACGAACTCCATCCTAAAATGTGTCAGATAATCTGTCACCAACCTCTTTTCGATTGTAAAGCTCAGCAGCTCATGCATCACTGCAACCGCCCTCTTATTGAACTCCAGTGTTCCAGCCTTTAGTTCCCTGGCATCTGCATAAGGCGACAAGTATTCCCGCTTCTGAAAATTCTCTATCTTCCCCTTATATCTAGACAAAATTTGTTTATAATCAGGTGGGAATTTCATTGGGAAAGACAAGGAAAGAAGACCAGCTACGTGATCATCTGGGACCTGCATACCACCCAGAGCCTTCCTTTCTAACTCTGTCATAGCCCAACTCGATCTCCAATTCACAAGCTCTAAATACTCACTTTCATCATAAGGTTTAAATGGATAAACAACTCTAAAGTAATCAGGAAATCTGTGCACCCAATGGTTCCTAAAATCCACTGGCAACCCCAAATCTCTTCTGAAATGAACAATCTTATCTAAGGCAAGGCGCTTGTCCACGGACATCATCAGCATCCTAGTTACAAGCTCTGCAGCTTTATCACTCTGCTGTTCAATAATAGCCTCCTCTTCTTGGACTAAATCTTCAGCCTCCTTGGTCATACCACACCATAAAATCCCTCTATGATCCTTGTACAGTTCAAAGAGCTTGGGGGACTTCCGCAGAAAAGCAGAGATTTTATGGGGCTTTGGGAGGTTTATTTGCCTCCTATACTGATCAAGTTCCCTAATTGATATAATTTTTTGAGGTTCCTGTTTGAGGACTTCAAATATTAATAGGACTTTGGAGAGGATCTTGTGCTTTTCTGTGGCTATTTCAAGGTCATGCACCCTCTTCTTCTTGCTTCTGTCTTGGACTCTTTTACTGGTGGTCATTGATCGGTGCCATTGCAAGATTGATGAAGAATCTATGAACAAGAATGCAATTGATGCATTTAGTTCAGCAGAAAAACATCCACGTCTACCAATAAGGTTGAGCATTGTGCCAAACCAAAATAATCAGTAGGGGATTCTCCCTCAAGACACGGAGGGTATTGCAGCTCTTAGTCCAAATACTAAACAGAGCACTGAGTAATGGATGTACTCGCTTGTCATGCACCTACTGTTCCCTGATCATACACCTTCTGTTCCCTGATCAATGCTTTGCCACAAATTGAAAATGGCCAGAGACAACATGATGCGGCATGGCAAGTTTAATCCATTGCGGAAGCCTAAGATTTGTGAAAATAGGCCTCCCAAGTGGAACCAATTTGGTCAGTGAGTTCTCAGGCAAAGTACCTTGAGGGAATGTAAAAAAAAATTAACAGACTGGTAGTTGTGAAACCTACATTACATAATATTGATTACGTAAATTAAATGGCATTGCTCTAGTGCCTGACAAGACATAATATTGATTAAAGCAAATGAAGAATAATTACCAAATACCAACGACCACAAGTAACTATTGCAAGTCGATCTTATTGCCATAAGATGACACCAAGAATAGATTATTCATTGAGGTAAGTTATCATGATTATGAAATAAAAGGTTTCTAACTCCTGCAGCGAAACTTAAATGCGTATTTGCCAAGTCGTCATCAAACTTTTTTCACTCCTTTAAAATTTGAATTAACTTAGATGAGAAAACAAAGGGAAAATTAACATTTATTCTTTTTGATAATAAGCATTAGATGTCAAGTGGACTAAGCGTGCAAAACACTTTGCAGACTCAAGTGGTAAATGGATGATTAACTTTGTTAAAAACGACATGTATCATGAGATAATTTAGAAGTGTGATTGGTTCAAGTTAAGAAGACTACAGGAAGCAAAACACGTGAAATTGAAGCTCACCAATGCCATTTCACACCAACAAACACAGCAGATGAAGTTGAAACCTTTTTTTTTTTTGAGAAAGCATGATGTTGAAATTTCAAGCTCTGAAAACCCTATCAATTACAGTAAGCTACCAGGTGTCAGTATCTATTGGGCAACTGTTCAAAAGTTGAACCATTAAGGAAGTAAAAGAGAGATCTTGAGTGTAAACTAGTGTCACTCTCTAACAAAACCAAAAGAAAGAACAAAAAGTTTCTTGAGGTTAGATTTAATAAAGCAGGAGAAGATACAGGTCAGATGAAACAGTTCTATGGTAAATGGAGCCTGATAAACGAAAATGCCGAAGACTCTTAAAATTATACACACTGAAAGATCGGGTATTGGGAATTAGTTTACCACAAAACCAAACCAATTATTTCACTTTCTTTAATTATTCTTGGTGGGAAATGAAAATGAGTAAACAACACACAACAAAATTTTACTCTATGTTCAGTGCCGAGCCGAGGGAAGCGGGCATGGACGTGAGGCTTGGATCGCAGATCATTCCAAAGAGAGGCAGTTTCAAGTACCTTGGGTCGGTTATCCAGGGGATGGGGAGATTGACAAGAGTGTCACACACCGTAAAGGGGTGGGGTGGATGAAATGGAGGATAGCATCTGGAGTCCTGTGTGACAAAAAAGTGCCACCTCTACTCAAAGGTAAGTTTTATAGAGCGGTGGTTAAACCGGTCATGTTGTATGGGGCTGAGTGTTGGCCAGTTAAGAACTTACATATCCAGAAGATGAAAGTAGAAAAAATGAGGATGTTGAGGTGGATGTGCAGGCATACTAGGATGGATAAGATTAGAAATGAATATATTCGGCAGAAGGTGGATGTGGCTCCCATGGATGACAAGATGCGAGAAGCGAGGCTCAGATGTTTCGGGCATGTACGGAGGAGAAGCCCAAATGCCCCGATAAGGAGGTACAAGCGGTTGGCGTTGATGGGTATAAGGAGAGGTAGAGGACAGCTTAAGAAGTATTGGGGAGAGGTGATCATGCGGGATACGGCGAGGCTTCAGATCTCCGAGGACATGGCCCTCGATAGGAAGTTGTGGAGGCCGAGCATTAAGGTTGTAGGTTAGGAGGTAGTTGAGCACATTTCTAACTCGTACCAGTGTGAGGCTAGTCTGATAGGATTTTGTCTTAGACTGCTAGTGGTCAATGTTGTTTTCACACTACTCTTCCATTTTCATAGTATCGGGCCTTATTTACTGGTTATTGTTTGCTTTCCATCTATTAACCGGTTCTTGTGATATTGTTATTATTTCTATGGTTTATGTTGACGGTACTGATATATTGTCTCTTTTCATCTTCTTGAGCCGAGGGTCTACTGGAAATAGTCTCTCTACCCCCTCTCCCCCGGGTAGAGGTAAGGTCTCCATACACACTACCCTCCCCGGACCCCACTTGTGGGACTTTACTGGGTCGTCGTCGTCGTTGTTGCTATGTTGTTGAAATTATTGCCTAAAAAACTTCTGGAAGCAAAAACGTAACCAAATACTCTAATGCTAATGGAATGCGTTTTCAGAAAATCAATCTAATTTCACAGAAAGTACCAACTAACCACAAAAAAAAAACGCTTAAGTACCAAGCAACACCTAAACATGAAAAATGACAAATATTGAGCACAAAAGAATATAAAAAAAATAAAAGAAAGAAGCAAACAAACTGGATACAACATTATTATTGTACTTATCATTCTATTAGTCGATAGGAACTGTCTCCTATCTACTTTTATTAATTGAAGTTCCGATTTTCTTAAAGGAAAAATAGTCAGTCTCTCTCTTTTTTTCTAACAAATAAAAGAGCACAATATTCTAAAATCTTCTGTTTAGTTCTTACATATGTGAAATGGAATGAGAAACAAAGGTTATGCCACAAAAGAAAGAAACATAGTGAGCAAATCCAATTGATGCAAAAGGTCGAACACCTAGAAGGCAGATAATGAAACCAGTGGGTATCCTTGAAATACTCCAAAAATAGACAAGTAAATGCTTGTAAATTTAGTAAGTAAAATCAAATGAAGAGAAAAAAGTACCTTTTTATTGGATTGCTAAAAAACAAGGCAAATCAGTATCGAGTTTTGATCTTCTCGGGCATTCAGGTTTGTCACCATGTAAGACTTGTTCCTGGGGCGGTAGGTTTGGAACGGATACGATATCTGTTACTTTACTACTCCCTCCGTTCCAATTTATGCAAAACTATTTTACTGGCATGGAGTGTAAGAAAAAATAAAACATTTGGAATTTGTGGTCCTAAACAAGTCAAAAAGTGGCCCAAATTATGGTTATAAAAGCTTCTCATTAAGGGTAGAATTGAAAGTTTAAGCTAAATTATTTCCAAATTTAGAAAAGGATTATTTTTTTTTAACGGACCAAAAAAAAATAGATTCACATAAACTAGAACGAAGGAGTAATATATATAAGTGGGAGTTAGGGGACCAACATAGCTATATGCATTGTACAAAAAGTTGTGAAAACTGTACTAAAGAAGGATACAAATACTGCTCCATCGGTTATCTAATTGATATTGTTATTTGGTTTATCATGGGTTTCTTTACTTCTTTTTGTTTGTTTGATTTTCAGTATATTTATTTCCTTAATTTTCTTGGAGTCTTACACAATATTAGATTTACTAGCATTAGGTTCCGCGTGTTGCGCGTGAACCTATGATAATAAGTATAAGATTATAAAAATTAGATAAAAAATTTAAATAATATGTTTGAGATATAAATAAAATTAAAATGAGCTCATGAAAATGATTAATACAAAGTCTCTAAAATGAATAATACTGAGCTAATACATTTGAAAATAGTTCAGATAGATATAGTTCAAAATCAAAAGACTCTGCAGATTTAGAAATTTATATTGATTAAATAGATCAAAGTTGAAATACATCTATTGTACTTTTCAATCAACTTCTCAATACGAAAGTCAAACTGTTTAATTCCCATCTTATTATGTCAGTTTGATAATTTTATACATTATAAATTATAGGTATTAGGAAAATAAAATTTCTATAATTAAAAGTATTTAGTAAAAGTATTAAGTCTTAGCAAATAAAAAACATAAACCTCAATCAATATGACGTGGCAAAAAATGAACAAAAGAAGTAACTTTTTATCTATAAAAACATTAAAAAGCCAAAATGCGAAACAAAAAACGAAACTTATCTTACTCTTTCTTTTCTTTTAAACTTGTTATTATTTTTTCCTTTTGAAGATTTGTTATATTACACATGTTAAATAGGGAAGGTTTTTGGACACAAAATCTAGTTGATTTTGAAGTCCTAAATTAAGAAAATAATTAAATGTCTATTCCTAAATATTAGGGGGATAATTAAAATGAATTTTGTCCAGTATGAAAATTTTTTTTAAAGGGTAAAAAAGACGAACGACATTTCGCTAGTATACATAGATATAGATAGGTATGTGATTAATTTCTTATATCACATGCATGTGCATCATGTATTTTTAGTGCTAATTTTGGATTTTTATGCTGATTGTCCTTCTTATTTTCTACTGTTATGGATTATTTTGTTTGCTTTATTCGAAAAAATAAGAGAAAATAATAAAAGGGGAAAGGCATGACCGTCTTGCATTATTCTTTATGCATTCAACAATATGCTCAGGAAAAAAAATAAGAAGAGTAAAGTGGCCATTCCTAACAAGGTGCAACTAATTAACGAGTATACAACGAACAAATAGTTTTTCACAAAGTAGTCTCTTAGTTGTAACTTAGATGTTTTAACTAAAGGTAAAGTATGAATGAGTCAAAATAGAGTTTTACATCTCACTCAACCAAAAAATAGCTGATAGTAGTACTTAGATGACTGATTTTACTGGGTAGATTTGATATTAAAAGTATTGCGCTAAGGTGTAGAAAAACAAAGAGCTCAAATCCAGATGATCGGACTTTGACACACAAATGAATATGTATTTTGAAGAGGAACTTCTTATTTGAAATTCTGTCATCCTTGACAAGATTTCAGTTTTTATCTACTTATTTCATTTCTTTCCCCTGGGTTTCTCTTTTCTTTCGAGTATACGGTAATATACTTTTGGGTTTCTAGCTACGATCGATTTTGCCTTTATGGATATTTTTTTGTATATATATACATTTAAAAATTTCGGTTGATTTTCCAAAAAGAGACGTTAAAATTTGAAAGAAAAAAAAATAGAGCTACTAGGATCACTTCTAGGTATATTGTTGAAGCAAACGAATAACCAGTTGTATTATCACTTTTAGCCTGTGCAATAAACTATTTACATCTGGTAGCCGAAAAAATATATAAATTATGTATAATTTTTGTATATTAACATACAAAATGTATATATATACAAAAAAAATATAAATTTTATACATTTTTTTGGGCTATTATTTTTACAACGGCTATACAATGTCATTTTCTTATTGAAAACTGGCACTGAAGGGGATATTTTCAAGGTCAAAATTTTAGTAGACATTATCTAAAAATGAGGAATTAAAGTGATAATTTACGTTATCCAATAAAAGGAGAGGAAACGTTTTGCTTCAGCAGAAGATTTGCTTCATGAATCAGAGTTCGGTAACACTGTTAGTTTTTGAACACATTGTGAGCAGTGAGACTAAAGGTGCTCCACTTTAGCATACTTAAGGGACTAAATATGCTCAGGGTTATATTTGAGGGACCAAAATAGACCTACCCTCAAATATAAAGGACAATATTGGTCAAAAACTCGACAAATAACCATGTATTCATTTAATGAAATGGCCCAGTACATGGTACTATTGACATTGAGTTTAGTACAATGACACATAGCAGTGTTCGTATATTTATATGCATTAATTGTATAATATTTTTTGGTTTAGGTGTATAGTTATACACATATAAACTGTGTTTGTATCAAATTAAATAATTTCTTTCAACGTAAGGTCATTTTAAGCTCCAAATGGCGCTTAAGATAACTGTTTCTGGTGGTATTAGCCAAGCTGAAAGATATTATAACTGAATTTGCTTGAGGCTAGGTAGTAGATAACCTAACACCCACTTCTTGACAACCTCTTACAATATTTACTATTTATTAAAACAACATAGTGGCCTATGTTGTGTTGAAAATTGATGGCCATGTCAAAGGGTGTGAATGACTGACATACTTTAATCTATTGAAAGAAGAAGAAGAATGATGACCAGGCATTTTGGTTACCTAAACCAACAATTTTGTGTTGTCATGTGTATGATGATGCTTACATCAAAGCTGCTCTGCTCAAATCTAGAGTCTCCTCGAACCTTCAAGGATAATTTTCAATTTAAAATTTTGAAAAGTGTGGGATAATTTTGGAGGATGTGATGCAGGACTCATTTGATCATGTATGGCTTTATTTGTCATTGCTTAAGAGAAAACTTAAGGATCTTACTACTCTATTTCTATTTCTAGGAAAATAATAACTGATTGGTTGTGATGTTAGAAGTTTTTATTCTTGATAATTTTTACAAGGCATAGGATATCTGTATGAATTTGGCCTAAAACATTGTCTTCCACTGTAGGTGTCTTTTTCTAATCTGGAAGAAAGATGAGTGCTTACCATGGCAAAGAGGAAGAATCTACGGTTTCTTGACTAAAGTCCCGCATGAATGCCCAATAGTGACATGTTATTGCTGCAGTCAGAAAGTTATTTGGAATAAGAGGAAGTTAGTCATGTGTCTAACGTGATGTTCATTGTTGCACCAGGTTTAAAATTTTTAGGCATTGCATTACAGGTTTGAAGAGCAGCATGGTAATATATAAATTGCTGAGGAATGTTGTACTACAGAGCTATGTTGCTGCAAAACAAAAACATGGACAAGGTGGGAGCCATATTAGAAGAGGGAATAAGCTAAGGAGATGGTAGACAAACACTTGAAAGCAGAGGCGGACCCAGGATTTGAGCATGACGGGGCACCATTGTCTTAAACATGCAAAATTTTCAAAGGTAGGTCCGTCTTTTTCCCGAGGCTAACGGGTTCCGGTGACCTCCTAACCCTAAGTTAGGTCCGCCTCGGAAGGAAAAGCAAAATTTTGATACAAACTTACTTTGCTAAGTTAATATTTTCGAAAGAAAGAAAAAACCTACTCAAGTAAAATCAAGAAGAAACTTACAATATCAGTTGCAGTAGAGCTTCAATCCAGTAGCCGCCGGCGATTCGGACTGCCGGTCGCCGGATTTGCGCTCGAGCAGAAGCGGAAAAGGGTTAATTGAAATAAGGGTTTTGTTTATTAGCTAAAGAGTTTAGGCGTCAGTTTGGAGAAGAGAGGAGGCGTTGGTTTTGTTTTTTAGTTTGGAAAAGGATAAAAGTTAAAGACTTTAGGTTAACTATTGTGTACAAGTATTAAAGAATTCAAAAAAATAAAATAAAAAACCACTTGACTAAAATAATTTTAAAAAGCAGGAGGCAGGTTTGGAACCCGAATCCTTCGAGTAACTGAAGTGCTTGAGCATGCTACAAAACCAACACGTCTGCCTTACTTTTGTTTACTAAGGGGGGCAGATAAATTATTTAACGGGTCCCCAGTGTATATGTAAATATATATAAAATATATTTAGAGTATTTTTCCCGAAGCTTACGGGTTCCGGTGACCCCCGTAACCCTAAGGTAGGTCCACCTCTGCTTGAATGTGCAAAGATTTTCTTGGTTAAGAGAAATCGATGAGAACATGTGTTGACTTAGTTAGTTACTAATATTTCAGCTGGGATCCTTTTTGTGTATCCAAACAAAAAGATTCACTCTCTTTATCCTCAAAGGTCCCATCACATGTATTGGAGAAAATATTTCATATATCACTTGCATATGCTACTGCTAAAACAACTTATTGTACGTGTATTATCAGTCACATTGGGTCCGTGCAGAGTTAGAAAATAAATAAGGTGATTATCAAGCTGCTACTTTTTGAAAGTTGTTCGTTAAGTTGGTATCAAAAAAAGTTTTAATTACAAGGAGAATAAAAAGAACTCTAAAATCGAGCTAAAATTGTAACTAGTCACTTTCATTGTCAGGAATGAAAATGAAGATGTTCTAATTTTTCCAAAAATAATTTACTCTTTTTTCCGAAAACATTAGGTTATACTCCCTTTGTTTTAATTTATATGAACCTATTTTATTTTTTGTCTGTGCCAAAAAGAATGACCTCTTTCCTTATTTGAAAATAATTTATCTTTATGCAATGATTTATAGCCACACAAAATATAAGTGCCTCATTTTACATCACAAGTTCTTCTCTCTTTTCTTAAGCTGTGTGCCCAGTCAATTGGGTTCACATAAATTGAAACGAAGGGAGTATTTGTTTGCAAGAAAATCGTGAAAAATAAAAAGATTTAAAACCTTCCCGAAGAGGGAAGACTTTATTACAAGTTAGAAGGGAATTGGACGAAAAGAAGAGTTACGCTTCTCATTTTAAATTTTCTTTTTCTTTCATCCAAACCACATGAACGAAAATCAGTGCAACAAAATCTCCTTTCTGAGTCGGTATTTTAACGATTCCGATAAGTTCGTATGATATTTTGGACTTGTACGCATGTTTGATTGGGGTCCGGGGTGACACGAGCGCATTTCAACACGTTATGTGAAACATTGTGAAAATGAGTTTTAAAATTGAAATTCTTGAGTTTTGATGATCGATTCGTGTTATTTGATGTTATTTTGAAGATTTGAGATAGCGAGCAAGTTTGTAGGATGTTATTACACTTGTGCGCATGTTCGGTTTGGAGCCCGAGGGGCTCGGATGAGTTTCAGGTAAGTAACGGATAAGTTTGGGATGATTTGCAACTGCTGGTGCCCAATTGCAGATCTCGCATTTACGAGGTTAGGCTCGCATTTGCGGTCAAATGATCACATTGGCAAAATGGAAGCTGGGGATTGGGCATCGCATTTGCGAAGGGAACTTCGCATTTGCGGATTGGGTGAGGTCCGTATTTGCGAATAATTCTCCGCTTTTGCAAACACTGGTAACATTTGTCAGCTTCGCATTTGCGAAGCTTTGAAGCGCATTTGCAATGGGGGGAATTCCATATTTGCGAACAAAATGTCGCATTTGCGACTTCACTAGGCCTGATGAATGCGATCAGTGTGTCGCATTTATGAACAAGTGTTCGCAAATATGATACCTATAGTTGGGTAAAGAGGAAAAAATCGAGACTTGGCTCATTTTAAACTATTTTTCAACCCTAAGCTCTCTAGAGGCGATTTTTGAAGAATTGTTTCTTCCCAAATTCATTGGTAAGCATCTCTAATGACTTTTTAATTAATTCCCGCTATTTATCGTGAGTTTTTAACATCAAATCTAGGAATTTCATGGTAGAAATTAGGGGTTTTGGATAGAATTTACGGATTTTGTTAAATTGAGATTTAGACCTCGATTTAAGGTCGAATTTCGAAACAAATCATATATCCGGGCTCGCGGGTGAATGGGTAATCGGGTTTTGATCCGAATCTCGAATTTTGACCAAGTGAGCCCGGGACTTTTGTTGACTTTTTTAATTTAGCTAAAGATTGAATCTTTTTCATTCATGGGTAGTTTCTAAAGCTTATTTTGAATTGTTTGAATGATATTTGGCTAGATTCGGGTGGTTGATCGGCTCCAACCCTATACCACTATAAAATGGCAAAGAGTGGTCGGTGCAGCTTTTACCCGAAAGGTCGAGATCGATATCCACAAGGAGCGAATATTGGTTGGGATTTGGGTTTCTATCCAATCTAGCTATGCGTGTTGTTCTTAATTGCACTTCTAACCATGCTTTGTTTTGTTTCTAATCTACTTGTAATACTACTGAATGCAGTAAATAATCTAAATGCAATGCTTTTGTAAGGGTTTTCTTAATTAATAAAAAGCACTAGGGAAGTGACTTACACCTAGGTGAGTATCTAACGGGTCTAAAACTTAGGACAAACTTGTTATAATTGGGATCATGATATAACCATTGCACATAATTACTCACTCCATACCTCTCGGTAGTTTGAGTGGCTTTGCCCTAATTGGCTTTCTCAAGCCCAATTGGGTGTTCAAACAATGCAAGCAAAATTGGCTCAAGTCGGGTATTACTATCTCTAGGTATGGAGATAGCCCCTTTAATTGGGGCTATCAATCTCTTGAATGCACCCCAATTCCTTGTTAGCCTGAATTTTATAGACTTCGTCTCTCTTTCTCAAGAAGAGTCTAAGGGGTCGTTTGGTAGGAGGTATAAGAATAGTGCTGAATAGAGTGTATTAGTAATGCTGGAATAAGTAATGTTGGCATTAATTATGCTGGCATTAGTTATGCTGAGATTATTTTTTAACCACTATATGATTTGGTGTATTAAATTATTGCATAATTTTTTAAAAATTGGGTGTTTACAAAAGTACCCTCCATAATTTTTAACTTTAGCTATAAAAATTAACTTTATAGATAACAGAACAAGAAAGGTTGAGGCTCTTTCAAGTGATCCATTAACCTATATGGATCAGTACCAAAAAAAATAAATTAGTACTATCAAAGAATCAAGCTATAACAAGTTTACTCTTTTTTTTTACAAAAGGCAAGTCGATAAAATTGATAGTCGATAGTCCAACCAAAATTGAAGATTTACAGGTTCCATGGTGAATCATGGCACCTGCATTTCCCAAGTCCAAGCCTGATAGCATTCTATCTAACCTAAGAATAAGATATTAAATTACTTCATGTAAGGAAGAATTCAGCTCACATAACCAAAACAACCTAAAAGGAGATCGGCCACATTGGCTGGCAACTCCTCGATTACAACATTGTAAAACTTCTGAATGTCAAAAAACATCCTTTCGTCATCCTTTGTGACAAAGTTGATAGCAACACCCTTCCTTCCAAAATGTCCACATAACAAGTTTGCTTTTGATGCTCTCTTTTCACAGTATGTTGCTCAATGAAGTGAATTTAGGTAAAGTTGCGACGTTAATTCAAAATTAGATGTTTCACACTCTTGGGCTACATTTTGTGCATAATAATCACTTGTTTGGAACGATAACATGGCCTTTCACATGGAATTCCCATTATTTACACAGATCATGTAATAGTAAAACTTTTCATTACTGAATTGAAGTTGGTGGCCTCTTGCTCTTTGACTTCCAACCTCCTCAAGCAAACAAGAATATATAGCTCTAAAATGGAGCAATCTGCATCAACAAATTGAGAATCATGTTGTTTTCAGTGATTATTCTTGGCGGTGGCCAAGTTGTGGAGAGAAATTCATCACTTCTTCCGTCACAAACAACTTATCAAATTATAGAAAGTTACCAATGAAAAGTAAGATTGGAAAGAAACAAAAAAGAAATTAAAGAACTGTCATAACAGCTTTACATAATTACATCATAGAATTTCAAAAGTTAAACGACTACAAAGAGCTTGAAGAACTACCATAGCAGCTATATAATTACATATGCATTTAACATTTACACTGGAGTTGAGCTATTTATAAACATCAGTTACACAAAAAATCTAGCATCCTCCTGCCCACACCAATAACCAGAGGTATCAAAAAATGGTACTATCGTCAAACTTTGAAGTTGTTAGCCAAGCAAAAAACTATCAAACTAGTGCCACCACTTATATCCACAAGTTTACCATACTTTTAAAGTTTATCATTGACGAGCATCGACATCATTGTATGGCGCTCAAATTCCCCCATACGTAAAAACAATTCCATCTTTTTGTCATCATCACAGAGAATCATTGAAGCATTGATACGTTGCTCTATAGTGCACAACTCAAATACGGGAGATTCAAGGATAGAATATATCTGGCCACGAACATTGGATCGATCATGATCCCCAATCTTTTCAATCAAGGCACCCATTCTTTTGTCTTGACTTTCAGTAAAGTTTTTCATAATTTCCATCATACCTTTGAGAAATGTCTCATTATCATCCTCTACTATTTTTTTTTCTTTTCTTGCTTTTCTCTTTTTCGTTTAAATTAGAAGAGGACCTTTTATCATACGCACCTTGTTTATGAGTTTGTTGGGATCCAGGATATTCATTTTCAGATGCTCCGGCACTAGGTCCAGTTGCATTTTCAGCTCTAGTAAATGCGCTAGGTCCAGTGCCATTTTCAGCTCCAGGAAATGAACTAGGTTCAGTGGCATTTTCAGCTTCAGTAAATGCACTATATCCAGTGGCATTTTCAGCTTCTCCAGTAAATACTTTAGGGCTATGATAAGCGTCAGCTTCTTCATCTTCACAAAAATCGATAGGAAATCCCAAACTCATATCATTACAAACTTTTGGAGCTTGACTCTTTTGAATTTCCTCAGAAGCATCTAGCGGCCCTTCTGCGAAC